CATAATATACTTGAATTGGGAGAGAAGATAACATCTAGAAGAAGAAGCAACTTCGATCCTTAAAAAATAAGATAATGCATCTAAGTCCTTCATTTCAAAACGACAAGCAAATTTTGATTTCAAATCTGTAATCCCATCAACATCATCACCATAATAATCATATCATCAACATATAGTAAACGGAGAATGCGATCAACTGAAATGCATCTAAAGAATAAGGCATAGTCATGATGCTTGAATAAAAAACCAAGAAAGCTAACAACAGTGAAAAATTTCTCAAACCAAGCACGAGGTGCCTATTTAAGGCCATAAAGTGCCTTCTTGAACTTGCAAACAAATCTAAGAGAGTGAGAAAAACCAGAAAGAGGAACCATGTAAACCTCCTCTTGAAGATTTCCATTCAAAAAGGCATTTTGACATCTAATTGAGAAAGACTCCATTGACGAATAAATTTTAAGTGTTATGCCCTAGTCCAATTAACCTTTGACATAAATACTTTTAATATATAACTAATGCGATTTAATGGCAGATCTATTATTTAATTAATAGACAATTAAATTAAATAATAGAGCCCGTAGATTCAAATTTTCGTAATTTGTTAATCACAAGGATTGTGATTGTGAGATACAAATTACATATGATTGAATTTTAAATCGTCCGTGGTCATAAGTAATAATGAGATACGAATATCGTTATTACGGATAGACCATCACGTGCATCAATTCTTACTTGTTAAGTAAGTAGTTGATCTCACAAGCTGAAGTGTGGTGACACTTGAAAAAAACATGTATGTCTTGTTATAGAATAAAACATTGGAGACCCGTTTAGAGATTTCACATGGATAACTATCCGAGTGTCAGTGGTTAATTTCTAACGTTCGGTAGTGGGATTAATCCTTTGACTTGAGATTATCATAGTATCTTATATGAGTACAGTCATACTTCGACGGTGTTAGATTTTGCTCTATTAAGGGCCGCTAATACAGCATCGTTCGGGTATATCAAGAATCATATGAAGGTTGTGAATGACCAACAGAGGATTCGTCATTTTTAGA